CCTACAGTCAGCATTACAGGTACTTTCCCTACCCTACAGTCAGCATTACAGGTACTTTCCCTACCCTACAGTCAGCATTACAGGTACTTTCCCTATCCTACAGTCAGCATTACAGGTACTTTCCCTATCCTACAGTCAGCATTACAGGTACTTTCCCTATCCTACAGTCAGCATTACAGGTACTTTCCCTATCCTACAGTCAGCATTACAGGTACTTTCCCTATCCTACAGTCAGCATTACAGGTACTTTCCCTATCCTACAGTCAGCATTACAGGTACTTTCCCTATCCTACAGTCAGCATTACAGGTACTTTCCCTATCCTACAGTCAGCATTACAGGTACTTTCCCTATCCTACAGTCAGCATTACAGGTACTTTCCCTATCCTACAGTCAGCATTACAGGTACTTTCCCTATCCTACAGTCAGCATTACAGGTACTTTCCCTATCCTACAGTCAGCATTACAGGTACTTTCCCTATCCTACAGTCAGCATTACAGGTACTTTCCCTATCCTACAGTCAGCATTACAGGTACTTTCCCTATCCTACAGTCAGCATTACAGGTACTTTCCCTATCCTACAGTCAGCATTACAGGTACTTTCCCTATCCTACAGTCAGCATTACAGGTACTTTCCCTACCCTACAGTCAGCATTACAGGTACTTTCCCTACCCTACAGTCAGCATTACAGGTACTTTCCCTACCCTACAGTCAGCATTACAGGTACTTTCCCTACCCTACAGTCAGCATTACAGGTACTTTCCCTACCCTACAGTCAGCATTACAGGTACTTTCCCTATTCTACAGTCAGCATTACAGGTACTTTCCCTATCCTACAGTCAGCATTACAGGTACTTTCCCTACCCTACAGTCAGCATTACAGGTACTTTCCCTACCCTACAGTCAGCATTACAGGTACTTTCCCTATCCTACAGTCAGCATTACAGGTACTTTCCCTACCCTACAGTCAGCATTACAGGTACTTTCCCTACCCTACAGTCAGCATTACAGGTACTTTCCCTACCCTACAGTCAGCATTACAGGTACTTTCCCTACCCTACAGTCAGCATTACAGGTACTTTCCCTACCCTACAGTCAGCATTACAGGTACTTTCCCTATCCTACAGTCAGCATTACAGGTACTTTCCCTACCCTACAGTCAGCATTACAGGTACTTTCCCTACCCTACAGTCAGCATTACAGGTACTTTCCCTACCCTACAGTCAGCATTACAGGTACTTTCCCTATCCTACAGTCAGCATTACAGGTACTTTCCCTATCCTACAGTCAGCATTACAGGTACTTTCCCTATCCTACAGTCAGCATTACAGGTACTTTCCCTATCCTACAGTCAGCATTACAGGTACTTTCCCTATCCTACAGTCAGCATTACAGGTACTTTCCCTATCCTACAGTCAGCATTACAGGTACTTTCCCTATCCTACAGTCAGCATTACAGGTACTTTCCCTATCCTACAGTCAGCATTACAGGTACTTTCCCTATCCTACAGTCAGCATTACAGGTACTTTCCCTATCCTACAGTCAGCATTACAGGTACTTTCCCTATCCTACAGTCAGCATTACAGGTACTTTCCCTATCCTACAGTCAGCATTACAGGTACTTTCCCTATCCTACAGTCAGCATTACAGGTACTTTCCCTATCCTACAGTCAGCATTACAGGTACTTTCCCTATCCTACAGTCAGCATTACAGGTACTTTCCCTATCCTACAGTCAGCATTACAGGTACTTTCCCTATCCTACAGTCAGCATTACAGGTACTTTCCCTATCCTACAGTCAGCATTACAGGTACTTTCCCTAGTCAGCACTACAGGTACTTTCCCTATCCTACAGTCAGCATTACAGGTACTTTCCCTATCCTACAGTCAGCATTACAGGTACTTTCCCTATCCTACAGTCAGCATTACAGGTACTTTCCCTATCCTACAGTCAGCATTACAGGTACTTTCCCTATCCTACAGTCAGCATTACAGGTACTTTCCCTACCCTACAGTCAGCATTACAGGTACTTTCCCTACCCTACAGTCAGCATTACAGGTACTTTCCCTACCCTACAGTCAGCATTACAGGTACTTTCCCTACCCTACAGTCAGCATTACAGGTACTTTCCCTATTCTACAGTCAGCATTACAGGTACTTTCCCTATCCTACAGTCAGCATTACAGGTACTTTCCCTACCCTACAGTCAACATTACAGGTACTTTCCCTATCCTACAGTCAGCATTACAGGTACTTTCCCTACCCTACAGTCAGCATTACAGGTACTTTCCCTACCCTACAGTCAGCATTACAGGTACTTTCCCTACCCTACAGTCAGCATTACAGGTACTTTCCCTACCCTACAGTCAGCATTACAGGTACTTTCCCTATCCTACAGTCAGCATTACAGGTACTTTCCCTACCCTACAGTCAGCATTACAGGTACTTTCCCTACCCTACAGTCAGCATTACAGGTACTTTCCCTACCCTACAGTCAGCATTACAGGTACTTTCCCTATCCTACAGTCAGCATTACAGGTACTTTCCCTATCCTACAGTCAGCATTACAGGTACTTTCCCTATCCTACAGTCAGCATTACAGGTACTTTCCCTATCCTACAGTCAGCATTACAGGTACTTTCCCTATCCTACAGTCAGCATTACAGGTACTTTCCCTATCCTACAGTCAGCATTACAGGTACTTTCCCTATCCTACAGTCAGCATTACAGGTACTTTCCCTATCCTACAGTCAGCATTACAGGTACTTTCCCTATCCTACAGTCAGCATTACAGGTACTTTCCCTATCCTACAGTCAGCATTACAGGTACTTTCCCTATCCTACAGTCAGCATTACAGGTACTTTCCCTATCCTACAGTCAGCATTACAGGTACTTTCCCTATCCTACAGTCAGCATTACAGGTACTTTCCCTATCCTACAGTCAGCATTACAGGTACTTTCCCTATCCTACAGTCAGCACTACAGGTACTTTCCCTATCCTACAGTCAGCACTACAGGTACTTTCCCTACCCTACAGTCAGCACTACAGGTACTTCCCCTATCCTACAGTCAGCACTACAGGTACTTTCCCTATCCTACAGTCAGCACTACAGGTACTTTCCCTACCCTATAGTCAGCACTACAGGTACTTTCCCTACCCTACAGTCAGCACTACAGGTACTTTCCCTATCCAACAGTCAGCACTACAGGTACTTTCCCTATCATACAGTCAGCACTACAGGCACTTTCCCTACCCTACTCTCAGTAGGATGTAGTGAGTTAATGTATTTCTGATTACCATGACGGGATAAAATTCTGTTTGAGCCATCGATGATAAATAGTTTGCAATTACCCGGCCTCAGATCACCTTGTTTACCCAATAACTATTCCAAACAAACCTTTACAGTTGGCAATTAGATCGCTGTTATCAAGCATGTCAGACACTACAGGCAAATTGTATATAGATAACAAGTTTCTCTTTGTAAATTGAATTTTATTAACTCGCGAGCGTGTGTGCGCGTGAGTGCATATATATATATATATATATATATATATATATATATATATATATATATATATATATATATATATATATTATATACATATATATATATATATATATATATATATATATATATATATATATATATATATATATATATATATATATATATATATATATATGTGTCTTTTCCAGTAATTGCTGCTGGGTACATGCCCAACATGGGCTACTCGGGATTGTTGTAAAAGAAATTACTACCAAGTGACACAGTGTGGACGTCATTCCCACAAATATCTCCCAGTTCTATATGGCTCGACTCTGATGATACGAAAATAATCAAATCTAATCATAATATTTCATCCGTTAAACCTCCCTAAACTTTGATGGTCTGGTTTTCCTTAGAGTTTATGACTTTTGTGTGTTGATAAAAATACTGTGCTGAGTGTTCTTATAGTGTACTGATTAGTGGTATTGTTGGAGGGAGGAGGGAGACGGAAGGGGAAGATTGGAAAGGGGGTGGGAGAGAGGAGGGAGAGGGGTGTAAAAGGGAGACAAAGAGGGGAGAGGTGGTGGAGGAGGGGGAATTGTGAGGGAATAGGGCCGGGAAGTACAAACCCGGGTTTTGCTGGGTACTCCTTCTAGTAACATACCAAGTACAGTACTATCATAGGCGGGTCGGGGCCGGCCCCCCATGGGGCAAATGTTGGTGCACCGTGTCGACCCAAACACCGTGTTGACCCAAGCACCGTGTTGACCCAAGCACCGTGTCGACCCAAGCACCGTGTCGACCCAAGCACCGTGTCGACCCAAGCACCGTGTCGACCCAAACACCGTGTTGACCCAAGCACCGTGTCGACCCAAGCACCGTGTTGACCCAAGCACCGTGTTGACCCAAGCACCGTGTTGACCCAAGCACCGTGTCGACCCAAGCACCGTGTCGACCCAAGCACCGTGTCGACCCAAGCACCGTGTCGACCCAAGCACCGTGTTGACCCAAGCACCGTGTCGACCCAAGCACCGTGTTGACCCAAGCACCGTGTTGACCCAAGCACCGTGTCGACCCAAGCACCGTGTCGACCCAAGCACCGTGTCGACCCAAACACCGCGTCGAACCGTGTCGACCCAAGCACCGTGTCGACCCAAGCACCGTGTCGACCCAAGCACCGTGTCGACCCAAGCACCGTGTCGACCCAAGCACCGTGTTGACCCAAACACCGTGTCGATCGACCCAAGCACCGTGTCTACCTAAACACTATCATGGGGCAACCTTTTGTGGTCAAGCCAGGAGCCGGGGGGGCGGGTCCTCGCTTGAAGCATTCAGCATTCAGATCTCCTTCACTGAACGAAGCGTTGTTACCCACATTATTATAAGTTAAAAAACGATTACATATATAAGCAAGCAGGTGTTTGGATTATATTAGTATCTTTGTTTTACAAACATTAAGAGACATTGTTGTATTCTCGAGACGGTAATATATGCTTATTTTCCCCCCAGCTGGTGGGAGGAGAGTTTGACATGGAGCTGAACTTCGTGATCCAAGATGCCCACAACCTGAGGCACATGCTCGAGCTCCTGGACCACTGCCCGCCGCCTCTACAGGTAACGTAGCCCACTAATACACCGTTCTCTATATTAATATGTATCAGAAGGATCATTCGACAGTAAGTTATGTTACCAGGTAACATGTTGGAGGTGGGATCACTGACTTGTTTCATATGTAGTTTAGACACATATATGAGTTTGGGTGGATATAAATAGGAGCTGCATGGACCAATAGGCCTTCTGCAGTTGTCCTTATTCTTGTGTTCTTAAATGACTGTGTTGCTACCAACCCGTCCTCGACTTAAGTCCATTCCATCCAGCGGTCGACCACACAGAGGCATTCATACATTTTTACATGCTGTTCATTCAAAACGGGAATTTTGTCAATTATAAATGAATATTTATATATATATTAGCATAGTGTGCATATATAGGCATAGGTTAGGTTAGGTGTTTAGGTTCTGTTGGCGATTATTTGTATTTGTAGTACGTGGGTGAAGCATTTTTACAGCGTTGTGGTTCGAACAAAATTCGTCAGTGAAGCACTTGTTCCGGAAGTGTTCAAACGTCAGCAGTTGTGAGTCGTGTGTAAACCGTTTTTCATTCCTAAACACCTGGGGGTTTAGCGGGTGGATGGAATCACTTTTGGTTCTTTGTTTGGAGGACGGGCTTTGTTTGCTAACGTTTGTTTGCAGAATGGAATCTGCTACATGACTAGTGACAGATTGCATTCACCTGGGCTCTAGGAGACTCGAACCCATGTGTGTAAAGCCGAAGCTCTATCGACCAAGCTATTGAGCGGTCTTAATAAGGAAAGTTTATTTAAACGGAAGTGTGGATGACAATTTAGTGTGAGATCTATGTAGACGTCAATCAGATCATTTATCTTTTGTTTTTACAAAGACAAGGGGTTGGATAAGACTAATATTGATGCTCCTAAATGAATACTGCAAGCCAAGGGCTGTTATTCGACACCTGGTCGTGACATCCTGGTCGGGACACTCTGGTCGTGACACCCTGGTCGGGACACCCTGGTCGTGACAATCTGGTAGTGACACCCTGGTCGTGACACCCTGGTCGTGACACCCTGGTCGTGACAATCTGGTAGTGACACCCTGGTCGTGACACCCTGGTCGTGACACCCTAGTCGTGACACCCTAGTCGTGACACCCTAGTCGTGACACCCTGGTCGTGACACCCTGGTCGTGACACCCGGGTCGTGACACCCTGGTCGTGACACCCTGGTCGTGACACCCGGGTCGTGACACCCTGGTCGTGACAGACACCTTGGTCGTGACACCTTGGTCGTGACACCCTGGTCGTGACACCCTGGTCACGACAGACACCTTGGTCGTGACACCCTGGTCGTGACACCCTGGTCACGACAGACACCTTGGTCGTGACAATCTGGTAGTGACACCCTGGTCGTGACACCCTAGTCGTGACACCCTAGTCGTGACACCCTGGTCGTGACACCCTGGTCGTGACACCCGGGTCGTGACACCCTGGTCGTGACAGACACCTTGGTCGTGACACCTTGGTCGTGACACCCTGGTCGTGACACCCTGGTCGTGACACCCTAGTCGTGACACCCTGGTCACGACAGACACCCTGGTCGTGACACCCTGGTCGTGACAGACACCCTGGTCGTGACACCCTGGTCGTGACAGACACCTTGGTCGTGACACCCTGGTCGTGACACCCTGGTCGTGACACACTGGTCACGACACCCTGGTCGTGACAGACACCTTGGTCGTGACACCCTGGTCGTGACACCCTGGTCGTGACAGACACCCTGGTCGTGACACCCTGGTCGTGACACCCTGGTCGTGACACCCTGGTCATGACACCCTGGTCGTGACAGACACCCTGGTCGTGACACCCTGGTCGTGACACCCTGGTCACGACACCCTGGTCACGACAACCTGGTCGTGACACCCTGGTCGTGACACCCTGGTCGTGACAGACACCTTGGTCGTGACACCCTGGTGGTGACACCCTGGTCGTGACAGACACCCTGGTCGTGACACCCTGGTCGTGACACCCTGGTCGTGACAGACACCTTGGTCGTGACACCCTGGTCGTGACACCCTGGTCGTGACACACTGGTCACGACACCCTGGTCGTGACAGACACCTTGGTCGTGACACCCTGGTCGTGACACCCTGGTCGTGACACCCTGGTCGTGACACCCTGGTCGTGACACCCTGGTCATGACACCCTGGTCGTGACAGACACCCTGGTCGTGACACCCTGGTCGTGACACCCTGGTCACGACACCCTGGTCACGACAACCTGGTCGTGACACCCTGGTCGTGACACCCTGGTCGTGACAGACACCTTGGTCGTGACACCCTGGTGGTGACACCCTGGTCGTGACAGACACCCTGGTCGTGACACCCTGGTCGTGACACCCTGGTCGTGACAGACACCTTGGTCGTGACACCCTGGT